ACGTTTTTCAGGGCTTTTCGTAAAATATCAATATCTCAGCAACGATACAACTTTTTGATTTGCGCCTTTTACCAAAATTCCTTAAAATGTTTGGTCTACAAAAGCCACCTACTTTGGAAAAGTTTTGAGAGTATCGATTGAAGAACGTCGGTCGTGGCTTACGTGCAATGGCTCTTAAAAGGTAAAAGCTATTTTACCTACTTTTTGTTATAAATCCTACCATAACGGACTTCAAAATCCTACTCCTACGTTTTGATTTTTGCTATTACGAAGCCTGAATTTATCATCCGAGTTAATTTGTTGATTCTGCTGAACGAATGACTTATCATTTTACAGTCTAGTTTATCTAATGTCGCCTATATTGCTTTGTGTGGTCCGATCGCAAGAGTTTGAGAATATTTGTGTAATGAAAAATGCATAGTTTTGGCAACCCAATTTATTTCAGAAATGCTAGCTGAATTTTAAAAAGTCGTGACATTTTGTTTCAGTTCTGAAGTAAATAAAAATAGTGGTTGATACGGCCAGCCATATTCTTCGGCGAAGAAATACTAATGATATCAAGGTGTAGGAAACGATATTTAATTAACTGTTGGCTTCTTTGAATTCGCTTATGTTGTTTGTCACTGGACTCTTATGCATCTACCGAGCTAGTCGTAGCTCAACATGTCCGTGTCGATATTCTTCAGAGAACTTTCGAAGATTGCACTTAGTTCAGCATTCATTAGTTTTTTCGTTCCTAGGGTTATCGATCCGAATAAGAAATATAATGGGATCACATTGAATGTCAACTGTGATGCCATTCCATATCAATGTACCCCGCTTATGCAGTGCTATCAGTTCTACTCACTTAGCTTTCGTATAGATTACGAACAACGTGTTTTAAAAAATAAGTAGAAAGCAAGTTTCGGACTGAAGAAAACTCAAACAACAACAATTGAATAATCAACGTTTGTACGCGGGACTGGTTGCAAAACAAACATATTATATATATTGTTTACGAGAGTAAACTCGTATCATCAATGGTATGCCATCAGTGATACCACACGCGGAGAGAGCTGAATTATAGTTTGAAGAGAGTGATAGTGGTTAGCCAACAGCAAGACAGGTCACCTTTCGTTACATAGTGGAAAAGAGTTGTTTTCCATCTCCTCTGTTTTCTAATTAAAAAATTTCGTGTTTCCATCTGGAAAGACAGAATTTTTTAATTTTACCGTCAAGTTTTCCAAAAGAAGCTTGCAAATTTTTGTCGATTTTTGAAATTCTATTCACACTTATCGCATTATTTCAGATTTAAGTAATTCTGCTCTGACTTGGACTCTGATGAATAACAATGGAGAGAAGAATGTAAAACTTTAATTTGCAGCTCGTGTAATCTCCATTTGTGTTTTTCGTTTATGCAGTACAAAATTGCCGTTGCTCTTAAATTCATGCTTCAAGAGAATACCGAAAAATGTCTGTATGATATCGCCTTTTGTATCAACAAGATCTTTGTTGAACAATAAATAATAAACATTTCAGTGTTCAGTTAGGCTCTAAATTAACAGAAACTCTCGAAGAAGTTAAGCTATAAGAAATAGCTATAAAAACTGAATGGTTCTCTGCATTTACGGTTCAATGTTTTTTCTTTATTTCAAATTGTATTTTTTCAATTATTCCGTTCGAAGACAGGTATTTTTCAATGTGAAGTGTAGAATATAGGTTTCAAACAAATTTTTCTAATAACACATTTAAAAAGCATAAAGAACACAAAAAAGGTTTCTTTTCCCTTATCTTGTATTTAAAAGAAATATTTCAACACAGAAATATGAGAATTTTGTAATTTTTCTCATAAATAATTTTTTTTTTTGAAACGTTCGCGCATATAAAGTAGTAATTTGTCCTTCTGCCTTATTTCTTAAACAATATAACTGATAGAGTGGGCGACCATCTCAAAATGTTTAACACAATTTTCTCTTCAGTTTCAGACATTTCAAAGTTCTGAACGTATTTTTATTCAAAATTTTAAGAGAAACAAAATTCAAGTGACAAAATTACATTACAGTCACAGAGTTACGTTATCAAGCCTTTAAATAATAAAAATGGGTTGTGGAGCATCAGAAACAGTCACCTTACCAACAACAAATACGAATGGCAATCACTATCAACAATCATCAGGTAAATCTCTAAGCAATCTAGAAGTCATTTAATGTTTTTTCTTTAAAGAATGAGGTAAAAAAAGAAAAGAAATCATCATTACGTCTAAAGATATACTACGTTCAATCACTAGTCGAGTTTCTTGTCCCATTTCTTGCAAGATTCTTGTCTCTTGTCATTTCAGACAAGAATCTTTCGATTTGTCTCGATAGATCAGACAAGATTCTTCTTTTAAGTTTTTATTGATTTTTCATCTGTTTTCGTGAAAGATTCTTGTTGAAATGGCAGGATTCGTTGACGACAAATTCACCAATTTGTTTTGTTGATTCAGGTGCTGTATATAAGTTGCACAATATAACGCAATACTATAAATAGATGTCTGTAAAAAGTCTTTTAAATCTCACATGATTCTTGTCGAGAGATAATCGAGGCTTTATATGTGCCTGTATTGGCGTCAGAGCGGCTAGCTCTCATGTATATGAAAAGAAAACAAGACGAAAAATGGATTATATATGCATTCTTTTTGTTTGCACGATTCTTTTAAAAATTACAAGACATGATTCTTCACTGAAATTTCTGTTTTGTCATTTCAATCAAGAATCAGTCTCATGATTCTTGGTTGAAATGATAAGAGACAAGAATCTTGCAAGAAATAGAACAAGAAACTCGACCAATGTTTCTTTTCTTTTCTTTTCTGAAAAAAAGAAAAAGTACTTTGTTTGCACGGATGAAATGGCATAGTGACATTGAAGTTTCTTTCTTTATTCTATTCATATAAAAGCAAATCAACGACAACAAAAACTAGTAAAAGCAGAAGAAAAAGAAATACAACCATCAAGGGAAAGTTTTACCCCTTCATCAACAATGGCAAATAACAGTACGACTAGTTCAATTAATGTTCTTATCGGTTGTCATTCTGATCAACATTCATTGGGTGAACAATTTAGAACAGCATGTCAAAAATCAGCATTAAATGTATATTTATTAACAGAATCGCAACCCAAAACGTTAGGCGCTCGCGCTAATTTGATAAGATGGTGTGACGTTTACGTTGTTTTAATTAGTACGTCTTATAAACGTACAATGGCATGTATGGAAATAATTAATTATGCAAATGAATTGAGAAAATCAATTATTACTGTACAAGCTGAAAAAGATTTTAGACCTTATGCGGATCTTGGTGCAATAGCTGCAAGTTCATTAAAAATGATTAATCTCGATGAAAATTCACCTTCAAATGGAATTGCCGAAACAGTAAATTTAATTGGTTCAAAAGTGAAAAAAGGTAAACAAGGAAAAAATGTCATCGATCCAGCAAAGGTAATAATCGAATCTTAGTTTATAATATTGCAATTTTTTCGAAACTCCGTAAACTGAAATAGGTTCAAGATGAAGTGAGCAATACCCAATTGGGTGAAGGAACAAATAACGCTCAAGTACTAATTTGTACGGCTAATGATGGTCTAAAAGTAGCCGAATTGGTTTACAATGGTCTTCAGCAACATAAAAGTGGTACAACAGCAATAATTGAAAATTTATCAACAGCAAAATCGTCAAGTGTATCAAATTGTTCAGTATTTGTACCGATTATAAGTCCGCAATTTGAAGAAAACTTATTATGTCAAGCTACTTTTGAAAAAGTACGCCAGTTAAATATACCTGTTGTACCTGTAGTAGCTATTCCAAAATTTAAACCCGAAGATTGGTTAGGTTTACCAATTGCTGGGAAAGTCTATTTTCGTTTATTTGATGCTGAAACAGCAAATAAACCATTCTGGGATTCAACTCGGATGAAAGATTTTGTGTATTCCGTTCAAGTATGTAAAATGTCACATTTCTTTTCTTTATGGTAATTATTTCTTACGTGTTGCGCTGGCGTATAGAGTGCTTTATTACCTGTTCCAACTGATAGCGTACGAGAAGAAAAAGAAATTGAATATTTGAATGAAAAACTAAATGAATGTAAATCAAAACTGAAAACATGGCCACCACCACGAAAACAACAATCAGGACAAGCGGGTAATCGAAAGCCCGTAAAAGTTCAATTAGAAGAACCAAAATCAACACACGATTTTATACATATCCATCATGAAATAACAAGAATGGAACGTAAACCACCACCAGCACTGATCGATGAATATGGTGTACCAATACGAAGAAAATTTGATTGTATGATTAGTTATCAATGGGATTTTCAATCTTTAGTTAGAAAAATTTATGAAGATTTTAATATGAGAACATTAAAAACATGGTTCGATATATGGGGAGCGATGATGGGTAGTACAACTATGGCAATGGCAACAGGTATAGAATGTTTTTTGGCTTATCTTAAGAAACCAGTCAGAAGTACATCTGTTTCACTTCTAGGTGTTGAATGTTCAAAAGTGATTTTGGTATTTTTATCAAAAAGTTATGCTGAATCTGCTAATTGTCAATTAGAATTTCGTTATGCAATTTATCGTGGAAAACCTTTTGTTGTGATCAAAACTGAACCAAATATTCAATTAGAACAATGGATGTCAGAAGCAATAGAAGGTTTTCCACAATACAATGTTTATGACTATGAGCAAGTTACAGCTCTGATCAATGGGGTTCCACTGGTTTGTTAGCTTAATTTCTTTTTGTCTTCTTATCTTACTTATGATTTCAAAATTTTGATTCTTAGATTGATGTAATAACTCAAGCAATACGTAAATTAGGCTTGGTACAGCCCAATGATGTCGTCAATGATTGTTCAAAACAAGTATTAGATATGAGAAATTTATTAGATGATGCTTTAGATGAGATAAGTCAACAATCAGGAAAACAACGTTTTCAAAAATGTACCAGATGTGGTGGTGAATTTGATGATTTCTCAAAAAGTGGATGTAAAAAGCATCGAGCTTATTATGTGGGTGGTTCACTTATAGAAGGACGATGGGTATGTTGTCGTGAACAGTCGACGGATTCGCCAGGTTGTGAAGATTGTGACCATATAAGTGAGCCAAGAAAGTGTGTACAAGATTCCTATTATGGAACATGGACATGGGAGCCAGCATAAGATTAAACAACAAGTTTATTTCGATTAAGAACAACGACTTATAGAAAATATATTAGAATGTTTATTCATCTGATTTAAATAAAATTCCTTATGATTTTCGAAAAACGATGAGAATGTTCAATATGATTAGATGCTTCGGCCCAGCTCACGTTGCATTTAACACAACCTAGAATAGGCAAGACCTTACTATGTCTGTTTTGTGGCAGATGTCGAGTTGTAAGAAATACATACATTCTTCATTGTTAAGAATGTTTGACAAAAACTATCCAAGCATGAAATTTCATATGAAATTAACTAGTTGCTCTTGCTGGTGGAACGCCCGCTTCTCCAGCAAGAGCAGCTAGCTAAAAGAGTAAAAATTAACGGGTGTAGCTAGCTGCAGCGGGTGAAACCCGTTAACACGCTTCAATGCTAGCTGCAGCGGGTGAAACCCGTTAACACGCTTCAATGCTAGCTGCAGCGGGTAAGAAATTTTTCCAGTATAAAACAGTGTGCAAGTAGGTGTAGCTAGCGATTTATTGGGCGCTGCAACTAGTCAAACTGTTCTCCATAATCTATTCAATACCCGCTGCCCAACTAGCTGCAGCGCCCAGTAAATCGCTAGCTGCAGCTACATAATAATACTTAGTTTTTAAGCAGGTAGGTTTTCTGGAAGCTCTATTATCAACTTTTGTCATGAAAAGTTCATGAAAAGTCAAAAACAAGGGAGTTCTTGTGATTATGACACACGGTACTGCTTAGATAATACCCAAAACTTTCTTTTCAATATCTTTAATGCCAGGCCCCACCGGTCTGTATATTGTGACCGGCTCACTTGGTAGAGAATTTCAAGGGCTATCCAGTGGTATGTTTTGGAACAATACATAATTTTCATTATGGCAGAAAAACGACTAATGGAGTGTTGAAAGCACTAAGATAGGTCAAAATCATTTAATCGGACAAGTATTTCAACTAATGATTCATATGGGCATATTTCTGAAAGACTTGTTTACCGCTCATCTTGAAGCTCGTGAAATTCTCTATCGAACGGTATATGTATCGTCGTGGATAGTGGTCAAGTGTGGAGCACAGGATCGTCTCCGTTCAGTAAATCACCCACTTGCTACCGCTTTGCATAAAGTATTTCTAATGTCAAGCTACCCTAGGACACTTTTCTATCTAGTTTATATATATACAATTGTAGCGCGAGAAATTCTCTATCGAATGATATATGTATCGTCGTGGTTAGTCGTCAAGTGTGGAGCACAGGATCGTCACCGTTGAAGAAAGAAGAGTAGAACTTTGGTTACAGTAAATTCGACCTAGTTTTTTCTTAGAGTAACTCCAAGGTCTATCGAGTGGCTACGAAATGTTCTCCTGTTTATTCTGCATCTAACCATGTGTGTTTCGATGGAATTCGAGCAGGGGCCGATTTCATCAAATAATCGCCCCCGTCCTTTAGGAAATATCATCAAAAACTGCAGAAAATCTTTAAACCTCTGTTTTTAAAAAAATAAGTATCTTTTTATGATTTAAAGCTAGCCGGACCACTTCAATGTACATAGCAAACCACATTTGACTGAAGTTGACGCAGAATAGGACCTTTACTTATAAAATACTTTTGTAATTTTC